CTCCAGAGTGCTGGAGAAACTTTCTGTCCACGCTGAGAAGGGAGATTCTTCTAAGGAGCCAAGATGAAAGGTCATCAATGAGAGCAAGTTCAAGGCTGAAGTGGGAAGTTCAAGTTTCTTCCATCCTGTCCACATGGGGAGAATCACTCAGGACTTTGGAAAGTGTCCTCACATGGGACTAGAGATGCAGATCATTTGATAGAGTGCTTGCCTAGCAAGCATGAAGCCCTGGACTCCCATTCCCAGCACCACATAAACCGGGCAGCAGGAGGGACAAGAATTCGAAACCATCCTTAGCTACATAACAAGTTTGAGGCCAGCATGGGCTACATGGGATAGAAAAAGGGGGGAAAAAAAAGAATGCTCCAACTCAACTAAGCTGACCCATTTCTCATGTACCTTTTGGCCCTTTCCTAGTAATGACAAGAATGTTCTCAGAGCGTATGTATCTCATAAGAACCTTCTGGCAAGTTCTTGCTCTCGGGTTGCTGAGTGGAAGCCAGAGCAGCTTGGATTTAGAGCTGGTTCTCAAGGCTCTTGAGTGTTAAGCTCCAGTTATTTCTGAGCAACCCTGAAGGGCCTTCCACTCTTGGATCAGTTCCAGCCTGGACGACTCTCCTGCCAGTCCCTTCCCTTTGCAGCCAGGCAAGTGCTGGTTTAAGAGAGGGGTTCTGGCTAAGTTATTTGCTCATAATATGGGGGGTCACCCCTACCTCACCTGATCCAGCCCTCCCTCAGGCAAAGTCATTCGTTATCAGGGGACAGTTAGCCAGACATCTCACGTGGGAACGCCAGAGACAGAATTAATAACAGTCTCTCTTATTAGCAGCCTGGCCTTCCACCATCGATCACATCAGAAGTGTCACCGCACATACAGTGCCGATTATGTGCACGGGGCAAGGCTCAGCAGAGCTCAAAAGCCACTTAAATCTATCCAGCAGTGACTCCCTCAAGAGCCCGAAATGTCCCCCAAACTAATAAACCCGACAAAGCACCGCCAGGGAAAATTCCTTGCGGATTTGAGATTTTCACTCTCTTAATCTCCTAACTCAATAAAGCAAGCACTCCCTGCAACAAATTAAATACTTTTATGAAAGGAAGCCCTCCCCCCCTTTCTTTGATGTTGGGTATGATTAGCCCCCTAACGCCAGGGTCTGGGGATCTGTAGGAGATGCTATTCTTTACCCCCCTTCAGTTGTCTTCTTATTCTACAGAGGCCCAGAAACTACTATTTACTGGCTCCTTGATTCTGGAAACTTCTGAGACTTCTGGCTTCCCTGAGGTGGGTCCCACCATCTGTTAACTGAGAAAAATGCTGCCATTCTAGGGTGACAAAGACCAAGCAGATCTGACCGGACACCTCTACTTTTGGGTTTTGTTATTGTTGTTGCTATTTTGGGGTTTTGTTTTGTTTCATCTTTTTGTTTGGGTGGTTGTTAGTTGTCCTTTTATTTTGTTTTTTAATTGTTTTTTACAACAACATACCACGGTGTAGCCCAAGCTGGTCTGGAACTCCCTATGGTGTTGACTAGGCTGGCCTTGAACTCACAGAGATCTGCCTGGCTTGCCTCTGGAGTGCTGAAATTGAAGGCATGGACTACCACTTGAAGCAGAGGTTTTGGGGGCACACACTGCACAAAGAGGGGAGAAGGAGTCCTTTTACTTCAGTCTTTTTAAGCTTTTTTTCTTCTCTGTTCACCCACCTTGACTATGCCCAGGGCAGACTGGCTTCAACCCCCCGCCCCCCCGCCCCGCAGAGGTGTTAAATGATACTACTCCAGGCAGGCTCTGGCCATTGGAACTGTCCTTTCCCATCTTGTGGGCTCTGGATAGAGACATAGAGGTCCAGGCTCTGCAGCTCCAACTCCAATAGAATTGCTTCAGTCCTAAGTCTTTCCCTTGAGGTCAAAACAAGTCCCTAGAAGTTGGAGTGTGGGGGAGGGGAAAGGGAAGGGACAAGAGCTCAGGGCAAAGCACAAGGGACCTCAGACTGGAGGTCAGACGGGCCTGGGTGGCAATGCAGCCTGGACTTTTTGACCCTTGGCAAGCTGCCAGCCCTTCTACACTTCAGAGTCCCATCTGCAAAGCCAGATTCCAAGTCTGCCCTCCTCAGGGTCACCATGGAGCTTGGATGCAGGTAAGCCTGCAGGCTCTTAGCACATTGGGGTTCAGTGGACCATGCGATGAGCAGAGGTTCCTGGGCTTGCAAGGTGGGACTGGGCCCACAGCTGTGGGCTGCAGGTTGGTTCCTCCCCGAGACCAGCAGCACCTTCTTCTTCCAGACGCCCTTGCAGCAGAGAGGCCTGAAGATGTGGAAATAAGCTCTTCCCTCTGCACAGCAACTGCCCAGGTCACTGAGGGGAATTCCAGGCTGTGGGTGTCACAGCGGTCTCATGCAGACCTTGTCCTGGGCATAGCTGGGAGTTAAGTTATGCATTTCCAACCGGAACACTGTTGTCTCCAAGGGGGCAAAATGTGGGCCTCAAAAGAGAGAAGCCACGTGAACTGACACTAACTAGGCTTTGCCGTAGTCCAAACTCCAGCTCCACCTGACAGACCTTACTCCTCAGCACCTAATTTCTCTCAATGGAAAGGAGTTGATGTCAGTCATCTTAATTTAATTATGCTTTGTTTTGTGTTTGAGACAGAGTCTTAGGTATTCCAGGCTGGCCTTGAACAAGCTATGTAACTGAGAATGACTCTGAACTTGTAATCCTCCTACCTCCATCTTCTCAATGCTGGGGGTTCAGCTGTGGGCTTCTGCCCTTGGTTTGTGTGGTGCTGGGGATCAAACCCAGGACCTACGGAATGCAGGGCACATTCTTTACCAATCGAGCCACAGCTTGGATTTTAATTTAATAAAATCAAAATGGGTTTTCCTGCATGGAGAAATGGCTCAGCAGGTCAAGTTTTTGCCATTCAGGTGTGAGGACCAGATTTGGATCTCCAACACCACGTAAAAGCCAGGTGAGTATGACATTTCACTGGTAGTCTCAGGACAGAGTTAGTAGAGCAAACTGGCTAACCACCCTAGCCAGACTAGTTGGCTGGGGAAGTTCTGGATACAAGGGAGAGACCTTGTCTTAGACTACAAAGTGGAGAGCAATTGAGAAAAGAAAGATGCCTGGTTATCAATCTTGATACCCCCACACACACATGGGTATGTGTGCCCCAAGACAGGAAAACACACTATATACACACACCCTACCCGGCAGAGGTTAAAAAAAATTATTACTCGATAAGTGGTGGTGCCCACCTTTAATCCCAGCACTTGGAAGGCAGAGGCAGGCGGATCTCCGAGTTCCAGGCCAGCCTGGTCTACAGAGTGAGTTCCAGGACAGCAGGACTACACAGAGAAACCCTGTCTTAAAAACAAAACAAAAACATTACCTGTCTAGGAAAGAGGGTGTGACTGGAGCCACAGAAAGGCTGAGGAACAGCACGCAGTCCGTCTTCTGTCTCTTAGGATCCCTCCCATACCCTCCTGCTGTTCCTGTGTCCCCCACCTTCTTGGGTTTTGGGAACACGAGGGGCTGCTAATCTGTTCTGCTTGGTTCAGAGGTCCCTCTGTCCCTGTCACTGCGGCTATGACAGCACCAATGTTGCTCATACCTAACCAGCTCCTGACTTCACCACACAGTTTCCCACTAACATACATGGATTTCCTCCTGCTCCTCTGTGCATGGAGCTCTCTTTCCACACTAGTGCTCTCTCTCCCCCCCCCCCCGCGAGCGCTCTCCCTCTCTCTCTTTCTCTCTCTCTCTCTTTTTCCACGCTAGCGCTCCTTCTCTCTCTCTCTCTCTCTCTCTCTCTCTCTGCCTGTATGGTATGCATACATGTTTGTGTGTTCATGTGGGTGTGTGATCAAGTATACACACACACACACACACACACACGCACGCACGCACGCACACACACACACACACGTGCTCACGTGCAAGTGGTTACATGTGTGCACACGCACACCGGAAGTTGACATCTGAAGTCTTTCTCAATCGCTCTCCATTCTACTTATTGAACCAAGGTCTTTCTTTCCCTTAAGCTCTTTCCAGAGCTCAGCTCACAGACTCGGCTCCTCTAGTAGTCACCTGTCCTGTGAATCGCCTCTCTCTGCCTCCTGCGTGCTGGGATTACAGGTGACCACCACTCCTGCCCGGCTTTTCCTTGGGTTCTAGGAGTCCAAGCTCGTATTCTTGTATTTGCCGGGCTAGCACTGTACCCACTCGCTAGCCCCTGGATTCCTTATGCTTTCTTCCATGGCTCTACCTCTGCTTATCCAAACTGCTGAGAATAACACACCTAGACCCTTTCCCTGCCATTCCGATTTATGCCCCTTCTTCCTCCAGAAAGCTCCCCACCCCACCCCCTGTGCCGCGCACTCCAACCTGACTGGTACTTTCCCTTCCTTGGCCTTTAGTTTGAACCACTTGACATTAAAGAATATATACGGTGTCATGAGTCACTGTTCCATCTTTCTGTTTAGGTGCCCCCCTCTGTGTGTGCATGTGTGTGTTTGTAAATATGTACGTGCTTTTTCATGTGTATGAGAATGCATATGTGTGTGCAGGTGTGGATCTCAGGAGAGGACAAAGCTTGTTCCTTGGGCTCTGCCCACTGTTTTTTTTAGGGAGACTCTCATGCTCTAGAACTTAGGCTAGGCTGGCTGGCCGTGGGCCCCTGAGATCAATCTATCTTCACCCCCTGGCTGGCACTGAGATCACAGGAGCAGCATAGCATCGCTCCTGGCTTATTCTGGGGACAGAACTCACGTCCTGTGCCTCCATCAAGCACTTCCAACTGAGTTAGACCCTTGGCTCTTGCATCTTCATTTATTTGGCAATAACAACCATTTATGTTTCTTCCTTATTGTTTACAGTTCTAGACACCAAAAATGGCAGATAGAAAGGTGCTCGCTCGTAAATGGGGAAGCTCCCTAACAGAACTCAAGCTGTGAGGTGCCATCTCCTCAGACACACCCCTCCGTCCTGACCCCTTCTCACCTGGCTGACTCCTTCCATTCCATCTGGTCCCCATCATGCTGTAGAGTGTCCATCTCTGTGAAGAGGGTGGGGTTGGGAGCCTCATCTTCCTCCCCCAGGATGTCCTGCAGCTGCTCAGCAGCCGGAGACCCTGAAAAGTAAAGGAGTTAGGTGTGCTAAGTGCCCTGCAGAGGTCAGGAGGCCACTAGGCCAACAGGAAGAGAGCAGACATGGGGCGGGGAGGGAGGGTGACTCACTAAGACTCAGCCCACATTCTGGGCCAGACTGAACTCCTTTCCCTTTGCCCTGGATGCGGATGTAAGTCTTTGAGATAAGAAAGGATTTGGTCTGTGTTTACTTCGGGGTCTCATCAGTTCCAGTGAAGGCTGGGAAGCAGCCGAAGCCAGGGCAGCAGCAGGATCCAGGAACAGAAAAATGAAATGAGGACCAGCCTGATCCAGCTTCATTTGGCACAAAAGCCTCGAACTCTCTCTTGCTCCACTGGGTCCCAAGCCAGTCAGCGATGGTGAGGAAGCAGGCAGGCAGGGGAAGGCTGGGCTAGTGTCCTGTGGGATTTTTCCTCACTGGCATTGTGGGCCTGATTCCTGGGTGTCTTGTCTCCTCACCAGTGGCCCTCTAGAAGTCACCTCACGAATGTTCTCAGGTACTGCCCTTCCTCCTTCCCTCCCTCCCACTCCTTCCCTCTTCCCATGGTGTAGTGACCCCCTACTCTGTGCCTGGTATCCTCCTTGGTACCAGAAAGTAAGGTCATAAAGAAGACCCATGTTCCTGCTTGCTAAGGTCGGTCTATGGCAGAGATGGGTGATAAGCAAGTAAACAAACCCCTGAACAATCACTAGGGAGAGTGCTGAGTGTCCTGAAAACCAAACCAAACAAAACAAAACAAAACAAAAAAACTTCCCAAGGGCGGCTGTAAAAAGCATGCTGGTCACAGGAATGCCTCTGAGAAAGGCATTTGAATTGTGAGCAGAACACATCAGAATGAAGTGTGCTTGAGTGTGGTGGATGCCCTGTGTGGCTGCAGCACAGAGAATCAGTGAGAGGGACGAGCTCAGAAGATGAGCAATGTCTTGGCTAAAGGCATCCCTGGTCTCCTACCCCCCACCCCCTTGTCAAGGATGCTTCTTCCTCACCAGCCCTTGGTTCAGCCTCCCATGAACCATCCCACACACCTCCTGATGCTTCCCCCCTTTCTCCCAGTCTCTCATTGCCTCACTTTCTCCCGCTTCTGCCTTCCTCTACTCATCAGTAGGTCCTCCATTGTCATGGCACTATTTTCAAGGACTCTATTGACACCTAACCTCGTCCCTGTAACTTCTAGACAGGCATTGACCTCATCTTCATCGGAGGTGTCCTGGAGTCCCAGAAGGTAGGGCACACAGTGTGCCTCTGGTCCATGTGGGCATGACTCTCACAGTCGCCACGTACCCGGGAAACCCCTGACCCAAGGCTTATCCTACAGATGGCCCTTATCGCCTGCATCAACCCCAGCATCCAGAACCCATGGCCAAAAGGCACTTGACTGCACAACCTCCGCAACCTTCGGCTTGCCCTTGTCAGAACCCTCCTGTGCCCTTCAGTGTCACCCCTGCCTTCAGGCCTCTCCATAAGTCGCTTCAGCTCCTACACACTTCTGTGGGAAGACAACGGCATGCAGGTATGAAGTACATTGGATTCCTTTCTGCTAGTCCATAAGCTGCCACCAACTGCCCTTGTGCCTAAAGATTCCTTCCTCCACTCATGCCCCCCTCCCCAGGCCCGCTGCCTCTACTGCCTCAGGGCACCCCATCCATGCGGGCCTCCTAACACACTCATGCAATGGACTCCAGGAACCACAGAGCTCTCTGGGAAGCACACAGTCTATACAAGTTAGACAATTTGCCTAGCACAAGGTGCCAGTGGCTTATGTGTGTGTGGGACCGCAATGGGCTTCATTGATTCAAATTCATCTGATTTTGAAATTTTTCTGTTGTTTTAAACTTATTTCACTGGCTTTGAGTTTAAGGAAATTTTATGAAGAAGAAGAAGGAAGAAGAAGGAGGAGGAAGAAGGAGAAGGAGGAGAAGAAGAAAAAGAAGAAGGAGGAGGAAGAGGAGAAGGAGGAAGAGGAAGAGGAGAAGAAGAAGAAGAAGAAGAGGAAGAGGAAGAAGAAGACAAAGAGGAAGAAGAAGAAGAAGGAGGAGGAGGAGGAGGAGGAGAAGGAGGAGAAGGAGGAGAAGGAGGAGAAGGAGGAGAAGGAGGAGAAG